TCACTCATGTCAGGGGGGCACCTGTGGTGGCCCGAGCGCTCCGGCAGCGAAAACGGGCTCCCGAGCTCCGTTTTCAGTTGCGACGGCCTCCTGCAGCCCTCTGCCAGTGAAAACAGAGATTGGGAGGGCCGCAGGCAGCCCTCCCGAGCTCCGTTTTTGCTGGCAAAGACCCCACGGGCCGGTCCTTCACTGTTTCCAGGGCGGTCCCACTGGCCAGAACTAAGCACCCCACGGGCTGCATCCGGCCCCCGGAGCCATGATGCTTGCAATATTTTTAAAACCGCCCCTCCCCCCCCGATTTGAGTCTGCATTCTCCGGGTGGGGAATCACAGAACACCCCGCCTACCCTGGGCCTCTTATCCCCGAGTGACTTTTATGGCCTGTTATCTTGCAGCATTTATGCCACGAGATCTTGTAAGGAAAAATTCACCTGTCATTAGTATTCTCGTGGCAATTTCCCTGGCTCAACCTTTAAATCTCATCCATCATGCTAAAGAACGCCGGCAACGAAAGCGATAGTAATATATATATACTTCCTCTTGGTAGAGCCCAATTACTAGCTACGTTCTTCTTTATTATTATTATTATTATTAGTTTATAACATAAAAACAGCATACTAAAAAGCGGAGACATCACCCTGCCAACAAAAGAGCGTATAGTCAAGGCGATGGTTTTCCCAGTTGCAATGGATGGCTGGGAAAGTTGGACCATAAGGAAGGTTGAGCGCCAAAGAATGGAGGCCTTTGAACTCTGGTGCTGGAGAAGACTCCTGCGAGTCCCTTGGACTGCAAGGCGATCCAACCGGTCAGTCCTAGAGGAGATCAATCCTGATGCCTCTTGAGAAGGCCAGATCCTGAAGAGGAAACTCAAATCCTTGGGCCACCTAATGAGAAGGAAGGACTCCCTGGAGAAGAGCCTAATGCTGGGAACGATGGAGGGCAAAAGAAGAAGGGGACGACAGAGAACGAGGTGGCTGGATGGAGTCACCGAAGCCGTCGGCTTAGCTTAAATGGACTCCGGAGAATGATAGAGGACAGGAAGTCCTGGAGGAATGTTGTCCAAGGGGTCGCGATGGGTCGGACACGACTTCGCGACTAACAACAACAACAATACAAAAGGAACTATGGGAAAGTAAGGGAGGGAAAAGGGAAGGGAAAAATGTAGGGCAAAAGGAAAACAGAAAAGGCATTGACTGTCAACTCCTTTTGGTGCAGCAGAATAAGATAACAGCATCAAAACCTTAACTTTTTTTTACTCTTCCACAGTAATACAAACTAGCCGTTTCTATAACAACAGACCTATCTGATCGGCAAAACCCCAAATCAAAGTTTTCATTTTTTCCCCCACTACCTCAAGCACAAAGTCCAGAAGCGGTTTCCAAGCAGAAACTAAAAGTAATTGCTTTTTTTGGTGTTTTCTTTCATCCAAGCCACCGATTCAGCCATCTCTGCTACCTCCATCAACCTTTGCAGCCGTACATCCGTTGTGGGAATCTGATTTACTCGCTACGTTCAACCACTTTCTCCCTTCCTCTTGCAAATGGCAAGCGAAGAGTAAAGACAGAAGCAGCAGCTCTCTTCCTCGCCGCTGGAAACAGACGGGTGTTATTCGGGAAAACGCCAGAGTGCCCTGAACTGAATAATTAAGCGTCTTGACGGCCCTTTTCAAACACAGGGATCTATTTACTGTAAACGCTCGCAGTCTGAAGTCCTCGGCTGGGTTTTCTCGGAAGGCAATCCGAGGTGACTCAAACCCGTCTGTAAACACTGAACAGGAAGCACATCAGAAATAAGGCAATCACACATACCCTTGAAGATAGCGAGCGTTTTCCAAAGAAAAGCCATCAAGGCCATTGGTATTTTAGCAGAATGACAGAGTTGGAAGGGACCTTGGAGGTCATCTAGTCCAACCCCCTGCCCAAGCAGGAGAGGAAACCCTAGGCCATTCCAGAAAAATGGATGTCCCATCTCTTCTTAGAATGTTGCACATCGGGGAAACAAGCGTCTTGAAAAGCTCTAGAACACAATCCTGATGCGGCCCTCAATGAAATTGAGTTTGAAACCCCTGTTCTACAGTAGCAGCCAAAATTGTGGAAACCTTTTGGGAAAAGTGTATTTTTGAGGTTTGATGGCTAATAACAGCCACTTTTGCTTTGGAGTTTCAAGATAATCCTATTCCACTGCTGGAATGGCCTGGGAATAGCCCAGACCTTCACCCAAGTGAAAATCTATGGAGAAACCTGTTAGTTAGAAGTGACCCAGCAATAAAACCCAGTTAATAGAAGCCATCCTTCAATCTTGGTTTCACATGATAACAGCTGCAGAACTCAAAGACTCGGTTCACTCCATGGGAAGACGTTGCAAGGCCGTCATTCATGCTGAAGGTTACCCAACAACGTATTAACTGACAGGATGATCATTTTTGTATATCTCGTTGTTTCCTGTCGTGATGATTTTTTGTATATCTCGTTATTTTTCCTACGTGTTTCACTTTTCTTCTT